TATATTAAATTCCTGTGGCGTGAGCTGCTATCAGGCGCGTCCCCAGGTTGCGGATAGGGGAACGCCCTGCAGATATGCAGGGTAGCCGTGAAATAAGCCAATCCTTCGGGATTGGATGAATAAGCGGTCGCGGACAAGCTTCACCGGGGCCAACCCCCCGGTGCTACATCGAACCGGCTCTTACTTTAACTAGTCGGGGTCGGAAAAGTAGGCACCACTTGTGAGCACTTCACAAACGGGCCCAGAAGGATACTGTAAACCACCGCAGTCCCGGTTCTTACCTTGGTTGGTTGGATCCGGCAGGACTGGGCATCTCCCGCTTGCAAACAGCAAATTGGCCCCCACTCAACCCCTCATGACCGTAAATGGGGCTTACTTGGCAGAGAGTGGCCGGGACTGGTTTTAATTAATTGGTCCCGGAAGTCGTCTGTCCTACGGTCCCAACGTGGCGAATGCCTTACCGCGCCAATCGGGGCTCTGGTGCGGTGGACCCCCTTTTCCCTTGACTCTCGTGGGAACTTTATGGATACATTAAAGAAAACACTAAACAGCAGTCCTCTAACTGTCCAAATAGAGGAAACCGGTAGTTCGGCCGGCCAATCGAGCAATGCTTCATCAGCAACAAGTCCGGCGTTCCAATGCACCTCGATGTTTGTTGGGAAGAAAAGGAAGCGCCAAACGTCTCTCTCAACTCTTAATACAAACCCCAACGACCCGACAGAATCTACACTTTTGTTTTTAAGGAGTACCCTAAGAACCGCTTTGTGTGAAGCGAAAAATGCACAGGCGTCCTGCTCCGCAACTTCACACCTTGTGGTACTTTTATCCACCATGAGCGAAGCACTTGACGATCTGCTGACTAAGAATGAGGAGATCAAGGGCCCTGTCACGAAGAAAGCCAGGAATACTGTCGTTTTCAGCTCCGAAGGCATACAAACCCCTCCCCCCGCTAGGAAGCCTACCATGGTCGATGCGTCCACGGATACCATGCTTACGCCTCGTTGGTGGACAGTGAGTTCACCTGACCGTCCTTTTATGTTCCCGGCAACAGAAAATCCGGTTGTCGGAAGTGGGTGGTATTCGATTTCGAAAAGAAATAAACAGTCAATTCCTACAGGTGCATCAAAACGTCGTCGTCGATCACACTCATCCTCTCCACACCGGCCGGTCAAATATTTGATTCTACACCACGAGTCCAGTTACAATCAACTAACTAAACGTGCATCGCGGATTTCGAGCTTTTACAACAATAACGGGGAGAATTCGACGTGCACATTCAAGCGTAGTCGTTCGCCGTTTAGTTCCTCCCCTATCCGGCCGGTGAAGTATAGAATATACGAACATCAAAACGAGAGCCGGGTAATCGAAAACCGGGATTTTACGGTTTCGAAACGAAACATTTTTGAAGTAATATCAGTTATATCGACCCGTACATCCGCCATGAAGCGTCCTCGATCACAGTCGTGTTCTTCGGGCCGTCCTTTTAAATGCCCGAGGACGGAAAATTCGGCGGTCGAACGTTGGCGATCATCGATTTGTAATAGCTCCGAAAATCCTGTCGGTCTTGCATCAAAGAAACGTAGTCGTTGTCGATCGAAGTCATACTCTCCCCACCGTCCGATCAAATATTTGATCATCGACGAGACTTGTAATAGTCGAGTAGTCCGACGAACATCTCGGAAACGGAATACTGCAAACTCGCTGACGATTTACGATGACGTAAACTCCACTAGTTTATCCACCCGTAAACGTAGTCGTTCGTTTTCGTGTACCGATCATTGTCCCCCGGTCAAATATTTAATATTAAACGTGTATAACTGGGACATTGAGGATTACAAGGACGACTTCGAGGACTATACGGACCATGAAATTGTACCTACGACTTTAGATGTTGATGAGTACGAGCAATTCTTCATTTTATTTTTGGATGACATAGAAGATATCCTGATTAACACCGCATCCTGCTTTTGCATTTTGGGCTACGTAAATGCCAAATTACATAAATATTCATCGGAATTAATAGAATTCTCCGTGATGCAAATATTTTTGTTTTACACACAATAACCTATCATTTTTGTGTGATTTTTTCCTGACAGTAAAATATACCAATATATATATTTTATTTATGTAAATTTAATTATGTATATGAAAGACAAAATTCATTTTAATTTACTTACAGTAGAAAATGATAATCATTATTGGTGATTGACAAGAGAATGTTGAGTATTGGTTGTATTAATATGATTAAGAAAAGGACTTATATGACGGATCAAAATTTAGAAAAATGGATTTACTTATTTTGAAAAATAAATATTTATTTAAAAAGAAAAAAAAACGATTTTAATTAAAATATGATTTTCCCTGGCTTTTAAAAATTATTCCAAACACTCCAAATCACTCATTGAGACAATGAATTTAATTTATATGTTGTACATTTTTTTTGACAAAAGCAAATTATCACTATTATTCTATAATTCGAAAAATGTTGAACACTAATTTCTAAATTTCTAATACGAAAAATGTAAATAAAAAAATAGTAGCACATTTTCTTCAAACACGATGCCGGTCAATTATATTATACTTCTCTCCAAGCATTCAAATTGAGTCTTTGAATGGAGTCGCAAGATACCAACGGATTTCTGGAAAAAAATAAAATAAGTCGGATTTTTTTTTATTAAAATGGCTTTATAGTAACAACTATATCAAGATAGAACAATAAATTATGTAATCGAAAAAAGTTAAAGTACTAATTTTAAGTAGCAAACTTAAAATTTTAAGAGTACTGTTTTTTTGTAAATTTAATTTTTGAAAAATTGTGTTCAATATATATGGCAAAACTTCATCATACAACAATCTACGTATTTTAACTAAACTGATTCATAATCAGATGATTGATTTGATGTTTCTGTAGCCGTATAGTCGAGGTAAATTTAAAATTTGATCATATTTTTACTAACTAGTTATTTTTAAAATTACTTACCGAGCACTAGGCACGTCAAATGCGTTCCGCTGTATGGACTGAATATCTGATGTCATACAAACAATGAGTGCTAATGTAGTTTTTCGAATTTCATTGAGTTGATCTTTTCAAATAAAATTATAGTTAAAAAAAAAAAAAAAAAAACTTAATTTAAACATATAACTCACAAATGTGTACACATTATAAATGTTGGTTCGTAGTGATTTTAAATACGAGTATATAAAATGTAGACCGCGTTACCTAGTCGAAAAGAACCGGGCTGGCCACCGAATTCATAGAAAAATCGGTCACCAAACTTCCATCTAAAAAACATTTCTCCAACAATACACTGGAACGTGTGGCCTAATATGGAGCCGGGTTTTGGTTTTTCTAAGATACCGGCTGCGTAGTAATCAATATCGTTCACGTGTTCATACAGTTTTGCTAAGGCGTCGATATTCTTTAAAATATATTTTAGTTAGATTTGTTAGTTAATAATATGGTTAAATAAATTCAAAATGTAACCAATTTAATTTTGTTAATCACACCGCTGTTTGTTTATTTTTAAAAGTTTTTGAAACCCCTTCAGAACCGATTGAAAACCAAAGCAACCTTAATGTATTTTTGCAAATACTTAAAAATAGAAATGAACTTTAAACCAAAATAATATGTTTGCTCAATTCATATTCAGCTTAGTTAAGTAATAAAATATTACGATTGTTGAATCTTTCAAAATATTTGTGATATAAACTGAAAAGAGTATCTTAGAACTTCTAGTTCTCTACTTAAATATCTTATACGTTTAGTTTTTGTCAATATAAATTTATATATATTGTTCTAATCATCACTCACTTTCCAATAATACCAAAAAGCGATGCGGTACCTTCAATTTACCAAACTCTACTTAACTAAGAGAAATATAACATTTTGGCGTCATCCCTTGGATATGTAATGAAAAATAGACGTAGCAATAAACAGAATTTCACATCAAACATACTCAAATATGCCTCAGCTTATTAATTAACGAAGAAGACCCTTGCGACCAATACTCTTGTGGAGTCCAACTGAGTATTAAAAATATTTTACCAGAATACTTTGAGTATGTACATTTCAGAAGAAGAGCCAATCTTCCAGAACATATTTCCTACTCATTCAACAACTCAAAAAATTAATTAACCTCAACAGTTGAATTCATCACATTTTCAAAATGAACTCAAAAATTGTGAAATTAACCAAAGTATAATTTTTTTCTTCTCTATTTTGTACACATTTATTTACTTTAGATACCATTTTTTTTTTATAAACTCTTATGGCCACTGCTGCTGAGGATTAATATTAAATAAAAAAAATATATATATATATATTGGGTCGCGCACGATATGTATTGTGTTTACTTTTTTATTGATTTGATCTATCAAGTCATTGAAGGACATGGCCTCTTTCAATCCACACAGTTGTCTGAATTTGTTATATGGAGGTTCTCCGAAATCTCTGCCACGTTCCAAGTCCAATGTGACCAAGTCAAGACCGTCCGTTTTGTTCGGGATTCTGAATAGGAACTCACTGACCTAAATAAGACAATAATTATACCTCCGTATATGCCCGAATTCGCTATTTAAGTTCAATTTTTAAATGTTTTTGCAGAGTATTTAGTGTGACTGGTATCACAAAATGTTCTCGCGTGACATTTCTCCGCAATGAAGTATTATCCCCACCGATAGTTTGCCGTAAATTATTATTTCTAATAAATAAAAAATAATTATAAATATCGTATAGTATCGTATTCATTTGGAAATAACGAAACAATCCTATAAATGTCTTATAGTTTTAAAATATGATACTATAGAATTTGCAAATGTTAAATTTATCAAAACCGGTCAAACTTCAAAGTATAATAACATTATTGCAATTAGTTTTTTGGTAATGCTTGTATCATGTTCTTGGTGTTACGATAATTAAATTAAATAAACGATAACATAGTATCAATGTTTTTACTATTTCACCGGATTATCCGAGGTCCGGACTATCGAGGCTCTACTACATTCGTCGGCAACCCGCCACCTGAAGGCCTCTTGTGGCCCGCGAAGAAATTTTTTATGGCCTGCACAAAGATGGTTAATTTTTGTGTTTTATTTTTGTTCAATAAAATTTTTCATACAATTTTCAATACTATTCAATTCTTTTGTCTTTATAAATAAAATCTAATATTATCGTTAATAGTTTATGTTTATTCTATATAGTTATATAGTCAGTTTAATCAATAAAATTGTTAATACTATCAAATCGGAGTCGAAGATAATGATGGCTGCACTTCTCTGTCATAGGATAAATTAAATATACTTATATATATTTAAAAATTAAAATTTTAAACATATTTAATCCATGTATTTAATACATATGTATCAAATATATTTAATCTATGGCCACAGTTATTTTACGTTTGTAGAAATTAGTATTATACTGCGATTACGCCCGTACGTGTGACTATTTGTGTTTCTAATGGTTTCATTTTACAAGTAAACACAAACATTATGGCGACTAAAAAAAGAAAAAATTCGTGATGAACACCGTTTTTTTAATAATTCTTGGGTTGATTTATACTTTTTCGTCGAAAACAAAGGTAAGCCATTATGTTTAATTTATCAATAAATTAAATTTTTTCTAGTAATATTCGTATTTTTTACACTCATATTTCTATGTAAAATTATCAAATATAATAGCAATACAATTAATAGTATATATCATAAGTGAAAACATTTTTTTAATGTGGCCCTTGATAAACATTTGAAAAAAAAAATATGGCCCACGTGGTTTAAAAGGTTGCCGACTCCTGCTCTACTTTATATATACTTCAAGCTAAGAGAAATATAAATACTAATACTAAATGGGTAAATAATTAAATTAATATGAAATATAGCATATCCGCATATCCGTTATGTTGGATTAATCATGTTTAATTTTTTCATAATCTTTTACAATTTCTTAATTACACCCATAAACACATATATACCTCTTTTGTGAAAAATTGATCTTGTTCTTGTGAATGTTGAGTGAGCAGTCCTCTGAGGAAGCTATCGTAATTGTCTTTCTGCTGTACTATGTCGGTTTTAAAGTAAAAGTCACTCAATCGTATTTTCGACGTAACTTTTCTGGCTTCGTTTACCAAACTGCAAAACAAACGATGAAATCAGTTCCAATCAGTACATAGGATGTTTACTACTAAAATTTCACTATGGCATATTTTTTTCCTCAGCCATTATTATTACTCGAAAAATCCCGGTATATAGCTGTGGAGTGATCTGTAAGCAGCAGCGGTAAAACTAGTAATGGTTGTTGGGTTTAGAAATTGATCGTAATTATTGTTAAAGCCTTTACTTGATGGTAACAAATTATTTACTCTTGCGTAATCTTTTCCTGTAATTGTTGTTATATTTCATTAATAAATAACTATATTATATTATTATTGTGTGTAAGAGGAATCACATTGGAGAAAATATCTAATATGCATAGATGAATGAAAATCTCAACTGAATTTTTTCTTCCTTTGGTTATTATATAGTACATACCTACAAGTAATGGAACGAATTCGTTGTATATAATATGCTGATACATTCCGATAAGCAATCTTCTGGCTTCTTGGTATAAGCGCTCATCGTTCCACGACGGATTTATTTTTTTAAACTCGTCACACAAAAAGTTATGTAGTCTTAATAAAGATATCGTTTGAACTACTTGATCAGGGTGAATATTCACTCTTAATGGATCGCCTTTTACAAAAATATATTACACAAATAGGTTAATAAAATTAAAAACTAATTATTTTAATTAATGTGAAGAAAAAAACCAAAATTATAAATCAATCAAAAAAATAATAATAATTTATCAGAATATCTATAAAAAACTTGTTCAAAGGTACAATAAACATTTTAAATCTTTTGTTTATTATGTTCGATGTGGAATAAGATGTGTGTTTTTATTATAAATTCAAAACTAACAATTATGATTTTATTATAGTTCATACGTGATTATTAACGAGATAGGTCCAATTAAATAATATTTGTATAAGTTAACATTTGTAAATGATTAACATTATTTGTACCTTTAAATTGCTTTCGTAGATTTGGAACTGGCATTCGATCATTTAATACAAAAATAATATAAATTAATTTAAAATCGATAAATTAAAACAAATTATTGAGATTATAAAAAGTTTTGGTAAAAACTTTAATGATGAAAATATTTTCTATATTTTCTACAAGTTGTGTTTAAACAAAACCGAAATAGTAAGAGGTAAAAAAAAAAGTTAGTCTAAACTAACATACTCACCTTGTTCAATTTAAATGTGTAGAGGAAACTATTTGCAAGAAGTGAAAGAAGTTATTATGTTCTCGTAATAAATATTATAAAATTTTTATTTCACGGTAGGTACCTATATCTACATTAAGTTTTACTAAAAAGGTTTAAATACTACCATTTTTTCAATTTAATATTTGTTTTGAAAATTTAAGTTTACTCGCTAGTATTTTATTTATCTTTTTTTATATTGGTTTGCATAAATTATTGTACGCTACTTATTTTTTTTACTGAAGTCATATAAAATGACACTACATCAATGTACGAGTAATTGCTTTTATTTGCATATTAATTACCAGACGTGAAGCACACTGCGTTATCATTACGCGTTATCGCTGCGGTGCAAGTTCGTGCTCCTTTTTTGGTATTGGGTAAGAATGATTTTCCATTAGGCCCCACCTGCTTTCTAAGCTTGCCATTAGAAAATGTTCGTAATGAATTTGCCGTGTTTTCGTCCGAGCCGTATACAAAAGAAGCGTCAAGAAAACTAGTAACTGCGATTATCTAAAAACATTCAAAACATACACACACACACACACACATATACACATATAAATGGCTTATTGTTATTTGGTATTTTATATTTACATGCCAGAATCGTTGTTACACAAATTAAAAGTACTATTAGTGAGTTCTATAATAATTAAAATAAAGATTTACAAAAAAATTTAAATGATTGTATCATTATTTTTGATTATCTTACTTGTCTGACTGGTTTGATATTACAACCTCGATCTGCTGTGTCGAGTGTTCGAGGGGCCGTGAAACATCGATTTTTCGAACCAGGATCATCGTTCGGTGTTTTAATCGGTAGACAATTTTTCGGTAGAGTTTGTAACGAAGTACCATCCGGACGGCAACACTCAAGCTTACTGCCGTTATCTTTCCCATAATGTACGTATAATAAGTTAATTCAATAAATTGGTAATTATGATGTTAAATAAAATAAAATAAAATAAAGTATATGGTAACGGAACACTCAATTTCTTAGATGTTTAGTACAATTTTATATAGTCGACATTGTATAATTTATTTTAATTTTTTATCATGAACATTTTATTAAATCAAAAAATTATATTACAAATATTTGTGTATTTGTGTTTTATGTGTAGATAATCGTTTATTTTTAGGTAATTTATGCCTTTTTTTTGAAATTTAACTTAAAATAATCGATTATTTAGGTTAATATTAGTTTACCGTTTGAGCATTATATACGTAATTACAATTTGAAAAATAGGAAGAACAATACATTTTTTGTTTAAACGTTTAAGATTGTAATCGCAACCAAATAATATAATAGTTTCATATTTTAATAATAAAATCACTTGTTACATTTATTTAATAACGAGATCTTCCATAAACAATACTGAACTGAAAATTAAATCCTTCTACTTACAACGAAGACATAAATTTTATTTTCATATGGTTTTTATGTAATATATTATAATAAGTTAAACTAACAAGTGTTTTTATGATCAATTAAATTTTAAACAACGTACGACACGAACCATAGCTAATCAAATATTTCAAAAGCGTTTAGTTTTCCGAAACAGGATTATTATTGTTATTCAGACTTTATATCAACTGTAGTTTATGACGCTCGAAAAATTTTGATTTTAAAACAATTAATTAATATCATTGGCATTGATGTTAATTTGTGAGTTATAGTGTTAAAGTCCATAATCATAATGCTAACGTAACGTGCGCTAGTGCAAAAGCTCACTTGAAGTTTTGGGCAATGCAAATTCCGTGTCATGAGCAATGATTTGACCGAATTGCATCGCGTACAAACTGTGTTTAGGCGCGGGTCTGTCCAAGTCTCGGAACAGGGTCGTCCGTATGTGCCTGGAATTGGGAAGTTCGTGACCCGATGTTGATCTTCTCGGCCGATCGGTACCTATAAACAGTCGTGCGCAGTCCGTTACACGTGCTGGGAAAACGAAACGGAATCATCGATTTGTGCACTATACCGTCCGAGTAGTGCGCTTGGACTATCCGCGTGTGTGCTGTATTTGTTCGTCCCCAGACCGGAAACCGTAAATTATTGCAACCGCCGTCTATGGTCCTGAAACGAGCGGCGGAATCGCATCGAGGCACGGGAAAACATTGGTCGGCGAGATCGATGGTCGACGGCGGTAGAAGCCCGATGGAACTCGACGGGTCCATCAGCGATCTGGAAAATCATTTCGTATGCAATCGCGACTAGGGACACGTGTTTAAAGGAGGAGATGCGTATCGGATCATATGCGCTCACGGCAGTCCCTATTATTTAGTGAACCCCGACACAAAGTTTGTAGTCAGAAACTGGAAGTGTGCACTACGGATTCGAAAACACTTTGAAGAATTTGTAAATGGTTTACAGATTTATACCAGACAAAAGTATACTTATTTTCAGTTTAAAAACAATAACAGATTGGTAGTTACCTAATTATAATGTACAATTTCATCAATAAAAATTTATAAATAATAATAAAACAATAATAGAAAATAACTATTACTAAAAATTATAATCATATGGAAGGCGTTAGAGGGAGGCTCTGTATCTTTGTACATTAAAAAATGTGAAGTACGAATTTTTTATGAAAAATACGGGCTGGCTCACGGTATTTTCGACGGATTCGGATCCACCCTCTCGTCGATGTTGGTGGTTGTCACGACATCGTTTTGAGTTGATGGTACGTGCACTTCGTGGTTTTTCTTCGGAGGGTTCACCGCGTGAATACATCGCGTTCCCGGTGACACGTGTGCACCTAAAACGTAACGCTCATTGTTGAAATTGGTCTGTTGTTGGCGCGACTTCGGGATTAAAAAAACATAAAACCAAATCTATTTTACTTTCGTTGCGAGCGTTTCCAGCGTCTTGTCCGAAAAACGCATGCGATCCGCCAAGGACTAAAACCGCAAACAATAAGATCCCAACCATGTCCATGTCGAAAGGTATCGCACGGGTCCTACGCGATTCGTGGGCTGAGGTGTAATGCTTAAACGCGTCTGAGCATTTAATATGTTAGGACTCGCGGCCCTACTTCACCGGCAGTTATTTATCGATAACGTATAATTCGTGTTCATAATGTTTCTGTAATGTTTTGATAATTTAAAGTTACGCAAAGAAAAAAATAATTTCGTGTGAACAATACTATCGCGTGACATTTTTTTTTTTTTTTTTAAGGTAAATTACAATATTATATTGAATTTCCAACAGTTATGAACACGGGTCTTTAAAGTTTTTTAAAACTCAACACGATTCGAAATGTTCGATAAACACATCGATTTACTCATGACAATTAATGTTATTTTAATTATATCACACGTAATTTATTTATTTCATAAGGGCCCAGAGATAAACTAACACGCGCACGTACACTTGTCCTATTTATGTAGGTACATTGCTTAACGAATATAAAATAATCTATATAATAATAGTATAAGTATAACAATGTAGAGGGAGCTTTGAATTTCCTTATAAATCATAATAGAATGTCTTAAATTAATCAAGTCGTAGACATTTGATCGGGAAAAACTAATATCAACTATTATCATATTTGTAATTTTGCAAAAAATTTATTTTGTTTTCATTTACAGTGACTGTGAACAGTTTATATGATAATGTTTTAATAAACGTAATGGTTCGACGTACAAAAAAAAAAAAACTCTAAAATACCTACTAATATCAACATTTTTAAACTGAGAGGCTGATTAGAGAGAAGAAAAACATTAGGTTATACATTTATTTTTTTATTTTTATTAGCTTTTAGTACAACTATGACAGCTCAACAATTATAATATATACAACATACTGAATTAACAATAGCTATTAAGTGAAAACAATACAAAATAATTTTTAAAATCATATTGATAAGTTAGAAATTAAAGTAAATTTTTATTTTATACTTAAAAATGCCTGGTTTGTATATGCAGTTATACAATTGTAAACACTATTTATCGGACTAAAATGTAGTATTACGTTTCATAAAAATTAAAAATGATTACAATGTTCAACACAGAGTCCAATTAATATCTTTTAAATACAATATTTGAGATATTTGTTAGTTTTTCAAAAGTTTGTGAAATTCATATCGCTACGCATACCACATTAGAATACGTGACGTTTGTATGACAGATAATGAAACGATTTATACAACAAATTATTTTGTGATATTATTATATTAATATAATTATACTACAAATCATTATTAAAAAGGAGACTGCGGTGGTACTTTTTGCATATAAGTGTATATTATACAAGAAAAAAAATTCTGAGTAATTTTTTTAGGACTTATTATCTAATTCAATGTAACTATAAAAATGTTAAAAATCTCTCTTTGTTCAAATATTTGATATAAATATGTAAAATTTGATTAACTTAGTACTGTATGTAGTCATGCCGAACGCAATTATCAATAGAGTCAGGTGACTTTTAGGAATTGAAAGTTTGTGTTCTGGTATTTATATAATTGATATATTATTTATCATTAAATTTAATGAGACTAAAAAAAAAAAATCATGCACACTTTATTGTAATAATCATTTCCAATCTACATATATGAATATTTTGAATCATATTAAATGGAGATGAACTAGTATGTACGTTACATATACGTATATTTTAATTATTGATTTTTTTATTTTGCTATTGTAAAAAATCGTCACGGCAATGTAATTGTTTGTAAATAGTGAAAATAGGTATAAATATTATTTATAGTTGATTAAGTTAGGAAAATCATGGAAACCTATAACATGATAATTTGCAATGTTATGATTATTTTTATTTTTAATATTTTTGTATAGTTTCACAAAAAAAAAGTAGTTCTTAACAACTTTTGAGATTTTAAGATAATATTCCAATTTTAGAAATCATTATTACGTGGTATAGTATTTTAAATAATCCTTTTTTCCTAATTTTAAACCTAGTATAATTACAATTTACTATAATAGAATAAATTTTGATATCTAACATGCGGAACGGATAGGAACTTATAGAAGAAGAATAATATAATAAACATAAATTAATCTTCGGAAGGTATTTTTATTTACTTGCTATAAAATATTTTATAATTAAATATTGTATTCTAAGAGGCAATAAAATTTGGTCTCTTCAATATACATTCAATACTCTAGTTGACTCCATTCAAATATTATAAAAATAATCCAAAAAATAAAATTAGATTTTTATATTCCTTTATTTTCTCTTAAAATATTGTTCAATAAGTCCAGAAATTTTCTATATCTTATATTTTAAATCTGATTTTCACCTATATAAAATTGAACCAATACATGTGTTTTGAGTGTCCCAAAATTATTCCTAATTATATAATAATTAATTTTGGACAAATAAGTATTTTACCGTGACTTTTATTGATTACTCGTAATCAATTGTATTGCTAAACATTTAATTGACATAATTTACAGGAAAATCTAAACAATGCTATAATTTTCTTACACAATCATTTGAATAGCAAATAAAATGGTATCAGGCTTAAAACTTAACCTAACCCTGGATTCTTCAACAAGATCTATTATAGTTATTTTACTATTTACAGAATTTCAAAACTTATCTAATAATGCATTTTATGTAATTATATAAAATAAAAACAGCATATAGCTTAAATTTTTTAATACCTTTGAACTATTATATAACTGAAATAGGCATGAATTGTTTTATCTCATATATGTTACTGGTAATATGGATAATCCGGTGCATTGCAAAATGACTAAGCATTATATAAAATGCCAAAAATCACTCGACAACATACATAATATGAGCTTTGCCTAGGTATTTTGCATATTGCCAATCGTGGAGTAGGCAATATGAAGAAAACAAACAAAATTGGATATCGTTTATTACCAACGACTTTCATGATTGCGTACACGATTTAACGCATTAAAGATTAATATTCTTTTATTACAATAAAAATAATTCTGAGATACAATATTGAACGTACTGATTATTTTATTAAAATATCGTAATTTTTCTCGTTATTTTGTGTCTCGTTGTGGTGTTGCAACTATGGATACGATTTATATGAAGTCAAATTTAACAAACTACAAATTTTTTTTTAAATATTTGGCCACTGCTACTACTTTTTAATCTGATGAACAGTATAAAGAATTGATAAACATTTATTCCATAAGAATTAGTCGAGGATTTTTAAAATGTGTTTGTAAGTCCAAAAGTAAAAATAAAAAGTGTATTTGCCTTAAAATTAAAATTTTGTGTACTTAAAAATATCACTTTTCTACAACATGTTATAATAATTAAATAGTAGTTTAAGTAAAATAATTAAAATAATAGTTATAATATAATAAAATATAAATATTAAATTTTGTCTGTAATATGAGTAATAATAAATAATAATTAGAAGAATCTTAACGTAATATAACATACAATATAATAATTTGTACGATGACTAAAAAAAATTGGCATTTTGCATAATGCCTAGGAATTTTATAAAATACCTAGGCTATGTGTAAAATAATATTGAAAATTATATGTTTTATTTATATTGCCTAAAATGAGTCGGCAATTTGTGTAATGCCTAGGCATTGTGCAAAATACCCGAATTATCTATAGTGCCGGTAACATATATGTATATATAAATAACTTTAATATTCTCTATCTATGTTCCTATTATCAATTTTTTTTCTTCCTATTTACTTTTTTACAACTACTTGTGCATGTACAGTTAATAAGATACAAATGGATTATTTATTATTTAATATGGCAGTCAGCTTAATCGTCATTTGATTTACGATTAGTATTGCAGTATTTATTTATTGAGTTTAGACGAAAACGTCTATAGGTATTGCTAATGAAGATCGGTACCAATTGTATAGTTAATCCCTTATGGGTAAATTGCTCCTGACAGTAGAATATACTAATTGACATATTTTATTTTGTAAACTCAATTATACGAAAGATAAAATTAATTTTAATTTACTTACATTAGAAAATGATAATTATTATGGTTTATTGTCAACATGATTGAAAAGAGAATGTTTCATGTTGGTGGGTGCTACTATAATCAAGAAAAGGACTTATACAACAGTTCAACATTTAGAATTTTTTTAATATGAGTTAATAAGTGTGTAATTGAATACATTAAAAATACTATTGTACGTATGTTGGTAGTTGGCCAAAATTAAAAACTTATTTATAGTATTGATTTACGTTTGTTAATTTAAGTACGTAGTTGTGCATTTTTATTTCCATAGAAACGAAATAGTGTTTTTAATTTATCGCTAGTTCATTCTTGGCATTCGACGTTTACTTAAACATCGATTTTTTTTTTTGCTCTTATAAATATATTATATATTATCATTATTGTGATCATTTGTATTTAACCTCATCTTCGTTCCAAGACGGTATCAATGTTATGCCATTGATGTCCAATATCATACAATATTAGTAAGTCCTTTATTTTTTTTTTTTTTTTTTGTGTTTGCACCTACGCCAATAGAGGAAAGGGTTGTCCCAGTACTTCCCTATTGGCGGCGTCGGTTATTTTTTTAATTTAATAAGTTACAATATAATGATAACAATAATTTATCGATAAAATAGTTGTTGGTTATCATTTCCTGTGCAGCATTTTTCACGGACCGGCGTACGCCCATCGGCCTAGAATCTCGTTAATGGTATGAAATCTTCCCGACTCTTTATCAATGACCAGCCGGTCTGGAGAATGGTTCCGGTCAGCCGTGATTATCGTCCTTCCCTGATGCCATGGATTCAATATGGTTTTTCCCTATACCCGTCACTCTGGAGCCGGTGGTTTAGGGATTGAGGCCACTTGATCTTGAAATTTCCGTCACCGTATCCGCGTAGGTG